AAAAGGTAAAATAAAATATTTTGGATGAAATTTCACACAAAAAATAACCTTACAGCTTTCAGTGGAAAGCCAATTCTGCTCATTAATTCTCAGGTATTTGTAAAATGGAATTGTGTTTGTCACAGATATAAACATTGTTTCAAACTAGTGTATCAAACTGGTATTGAAAGCACTATTTTGTTACCAGTGAGTAGAGGAACAGGAGAAGACACTGTAACACAACTGCAGCAACTTAAAAAATGCTGGTATAGGAAAATTATAGCAGGAGAGTGGAGCTATCTCTTCAGGTTAAAAACTGTAATCTATTCTATTCTTGAACCTGAAATTATAGAGTAATTGGCCTGAGATCTTCCTTCCCTCCAGCTGGAGTTTTCTTCCATTTTTTTCCTGACATCAGTGAGATGTCCTGAGACTTAGAACAGAGGTCTTTAAGATAGTTAGCCCCTGAGATTTTGCATTAAATGTTTGAAAGCTAAGAGGAAAGTTTTTCCTTTAATTTCTTTTTATATTGTTGAAATTTTCAGAGGGTCTAAAATAGTGTTTTTAAATAAACTCTTTTTTCTCCTCAAGTCTTTTTTTCCTTTATGTTCTTTCTTATGCTCACAATTTCCTATTCCAAACTTTTCTGGTTTAGTCCTTCTCATACTTGTCTCATTTTCTTTGTTCTTTCCCTGATGTTTGGAACATTTTTCCATCTCACTTCTGCAAATTTAAAATGCAATACAGCTGGCTTTTTTTAAGGAGTTCTGCTACCTTTATTACAATGTTCTACTCTATATTCTATATTTGAATCATACTCCCTATCCTAAGCTAATGTGTCAGATTGTCTTTTGTTTTGATCTGAAAGAAATATACCTGCTTCAGATACAATACTAGGATTTCAATGCTAATGAATAATTCTTAAGAGAAGTTACTTTTGGATCTACTCAAGTAAGACATGTGTGGCATGTGGCATAGCAGAAGATGTAACACGGCTCGCAGTTTCCATTCGATCATATGCTGCAGTTGGAATCCAAATTTAAATTGTGTTAAGCAACTACAATTTAATTTTCCAACACCACAGGAGAAATGTCATAAAGGAAATGTTTAATGCAAGTTTCCCGTTAAACACTGGTAAATTAGCCAAATACAAAGTCCTGCAAAAATAAAGGTACGGACAGAGTCAAAGAAGCAAGAGTGTTGGAGGAAATAAATTTTTAAGAATGCTGTAATATGTTCTTAAAATAAGACATGCTCCATCATTCTTGAAAAATCCTGGACCTCAATTCTTCACTTTTTATGTAAGAAGACAGATGTTCAGCTAATTCCAGCAGCAGTGGTACTGTTGTGATGACTATCATATTTTTTGTGATGGTGTAGTTGGCTGTTCTCAGGAAAATGGTCAGGTCCTAATAAATCCTGCCTCTGTCTGTCTCTCAGTGGTTTATCTATGATGCGTATATGGAGGAACTTGAGAGAATGGAAAAGGCAAAAGAGAAAGAAAAAGCAAAACCTGTGGCAGCAAAGAAAGACGATAATAAAACTGGAAGAAGGTTATCATATGTGGAGTTACCGGTATGTTTCATAATGTGGGGAAGAAGGTTGTTCAAATTGCTGGTTGGGTGCCTCTGTAGAGCAAGTCAGGTGAAAACAAATCATGCTGGCAGTGTGGCTTGTTGTCATACTAGGCAAATAACAGCTTTAGGAAATGCAAAAGTTAGTTTTTGCTAGAAATTGAATTTCTAAACCAGGATTTCTGTTGTGTTTTATAAAACAGGATTTTGATTTTGTGCAGTCTTATTTTCAAACCTGATTTCCAAGTGAGATATATAGCTTCTGTTTTTTTTGCATTGTGTATGTTTCACATTTTTGATTATTATGTGAGAGATAAAATAACTAAATAGGTAGAAACACCCTGTGATTTTTCAAAGAATTTTAAGTGATGATGTTTTTACATACAATGTTTCAATCTGAAAGGCACTGGCATTTAGAATTATTTCAAAATACAGCACTGTAGTAAAACACTTCTCAAAATTTTTTGGTTTTAATTTTTAATGACATTATATAATTACAACTTGTACATTTGCTAATTGTAGACACCTAAGTAGCGTGCTTCTCAGAATATCAGGTGTCCTAACACTTGCCATGCCCTGACCTGATGTTGTGACCTTGCTGTGAGGGTGATATTGACTCCTAATTCACAATCAGGAGTAGCCTATGAGTGCCTTGTGGGAATTACATGGTTCTTTCTATCAAAGGGACAGTATTCCCATCTTAAAAATATTATCCCACTTCAAACACTGAGTGTACGATATAGAGGACAATATTCTGAAAGATTTTCTTCATATTCCAAAATGTTTTCAAGAGTTTCAGAAAGTTTCTATTACGGTTTAACTGGCTGGTTCTTTCTTCCCCAGCCTAAGGTAAGCAATTTAGAAGGCAAACTGAAATAATTTCTATAATGACTGGAGCAAGATACCCTGAGAATTATAATACAGAATCATGGAAATCTGTTCATAACTTACTCCTAGAATAGGTGTAGACATACCAACATAAGATATAGATATAGATATAGATATAGATATAGATATAGATATAGATATAGATATAGATATAGATATAGATATAGATATAGATATAGATATAGATATAGATATAGATATAGATATAGATATAGATAGATAGATATAGATATAGATATAGATATAGATATAGATATAGATATAGATATAGATATAGATATAGATATAGATATAGATGATATAGATATAGATAGATATAGATATAGATAGCTATGCATATAGAAATAGATAGATAGATAGATAGATAGATAGATAGATAGATAGATAGATAGATAGATAGATAGATAGATAGATGATGTGTGTGTGTATGTGTGTGTAATAAGAGCTGACTTCTGAAACTGGCTTTAGCTCTTTCTTACCATATGGCTGATGTAACTGCAGAGGATTTGGCTGGTTTAGCCAAGAGGCAGCACTGTGCCAGCATAAATCTTACAGTATACACAGACCAGGAACATGTTCTGATAGGCTTCTTCCTGTGAATTGTGCCATGGAAATTCACAGTCCTTTTGAAAACCATTAAACCTTTCACCTCAGTATGTTTCTGAGAGTTAAGCCTCAAGTCAACATTGCAGTTACAGGCTCAAAGGGTGGACTGCAAAAAGCTAAATGAAAATAAAGTGAAACCATATTGTAAAACACCTGCTGCTCACTCCACTGACAACAGTGGAAAATTGAAATCCAGTCGCTCATGCTATCTGTCCCTTTGGTGTTTTGCTTTTCACACTTAACACTTTCGAGGGCGCTTGAAAGGAAGCCAAATATTTGATGCACTGAATTAATAAGTGAAAGGAGAAGCAGAGCCAGTGTCCCAAACTGAGGTCCTCTGTGAGGCTGATCAACTAACCTGAAGTGTATGAAAAACGTGATTAATTCTTCACTCGTTAACTGGAAAAAATTTAGCCTGAATAATCCAAGGCTCAAATCAGACTTACAACAGTCATTATGTCTGTTCAGATGTAGGTATATGGAAATTAAAGGTTGATGGCATCAGAATCTGTATTTCTGGCCTCAAGTCAGCAAATGGAGAATAGGTTCTGTAACCCACACATTACAGTAGGAGCTGTAACTCACACATTACATATGTTACAGCATGCTAATTGAAAAGAGCTTTTCCAGCTGAGCGCTTCTTAAGGACAAACTGTGCTTGGTCATTGCTGAAGGGAGCTGTGGAACATCAAGCACGAGACATAGCTGATCTGAATCAAGATGCAATGGCTAGAAGCTACAATTAATTTCCACCATTGTTTTGGTCAGGCTAGGTATTAGCAAGAAAAACTATGATAGCTACTGAGATAGCACCAGATTTAACCCAAGGGAAAGAAGGTAAAATGAGTGGCTATTACCACAGGTGGATCTCTCATGGAAGCTGTTGCTATAGTAGGAAGCCATGAAAGGGGAGATCCAAGAAATAGAGCCACAGCTGGAGATGATGGTAGTAGTTCAATGAGAATTTAAAAATGTAATAAGTGAAAAGGGACAGAAAATAGTACTGGTACTGAATAAGAGGTCAAAGGAATGCATGACTGGAAGAGAAAAGCAGAGAAGAAAAGAGAGGCGGGGAGGGGAAGGGAAGGGAAGGGAGGGAAAGGGAACCTTGACAGGTCTTGACAGAAGCTTCTTGCTAGGGGAAGAGAAGTAAAATGAAGCTGTGTGTTGCAGGTTTCTTGCTACAAAAAGCAAGAAAGACATGGTTTAGCAAAACAGACAATAGAGGCAGTCAACAGGAAATGAAGAGAGATAACCAAGGATTTCAACAGAAGGAAGGGTGAGAATTTTATAAAGAAGATGTATGAGGGAATAGAAGTTGGAATAATAGAAAGTGTTTGACTGGAAACTGTAATGAGGAACTCCTATAAATCTCTCCATGTCTCTCACTCAGATGGAACCAAAGGGGAAAGGGTGTGCAACATCTAATAGCACTGATAAAACTTTTGGAACTTTTCCTCAGTATTTAGTCAAGGCAATACACAGACCATGGATTACGCAGAATACCAAAGTGGAATGATATGAAATTTTCTGAGCTGAAAATATCTGGAAGCAGAGATAACTAGGCAGAAATGTTGTATCTGCCTGTCCTGCTCTTCCTGTTCCTGTATCATCTGTTTATGGCTCTGATTACAGGGAAGATACTCAATGATATTAAAGGTGTTTTTCAACCCAAATGTTTCTGTGATTCCACAGTCCTGACCCAGAGATCTTGGTATGATCCATAGCCCTCCTTATATTCTTGAATGAACTTAGAAATTACATTATTTGTCGCAGAAGCAAAATGCAAAGAGCTTAATGCAATTGATGCAGGCTTGCTTGCCTTACCCTTAGATGGCAAGGCATGAAACCAAAAGTCTTACATTAAGGATTTTGAATGAATCTATGCAAAAGGGGGTGGAGCAATGTGATTGGACCATAACAAGGACATGTTGTATACATGAAGTTACATACCAGAAGAAGCCTTTTTTCCATGCTTATGGGACCCATACATTGCAACTGGCCAGCTGTTGAGAGGTAAGTATAAGGCAGTTAGTGATAAGGCATTACAGAGCAAGACCAAGACATTTTTTCCAAAATATTAGCCCATTATCCATCTTACATATGATTCAATTAACATTATTGCTGTTCTAAATATAACTTATGCACAGAAATAAACAAAGCAAACGTGAGCTCTCCTTGCATTTGGCTAGCTAGCTCAGAATTGGCCTAAGGTGGAAAAGGGTGTTTAAAAAAAATTGTTTTTTTAAAGAAAGAGAAATTAGGCCTAGCACTTCTCTAAAGATTTATTTCTTCAGCATTTCTTCAGAATAAATAAAATCTGAAACAGGACAGGATACAAAGAGAAAATAACTTACTCTCATCCACTTATAATGTCAAAAATGTAGTCATGGATGTGTTGTTAACAGCATAGCTACCTGACAGAAAAGCTGACTTAAAACTCTTGTGATTCATCTGGAGAGTTTCGTGCTTTGCAGAAAAAAAAATCAATTGAATGACATATTGTTTCTGCATTTACAATGTTATTTTGGTATTTGTTTTATTTCTTTTTGAGTTTTAGCCTGCTTTCCACTGACACTCCCCAAAAATAAAATTTGTGGAATCATAGTATCATAAATTAATAGAATGGTTTGGGTTGGTTTTGGGTTAAAGATCATCTCATTCTGACCACCATACCATTGGCAGGGACACCTTCCTCTAGACCAGGTTGTGTAAAGCCCTGTCCAACATGGCCTTGAACACTTCCAGGGATGGAGTGTCAACAGCTTCTCTGGGCAACCTGTGCCAGTGCCTCAACACAATCACAGTAATGAATTTTGTCATAATATTTGATTCAAATAATTTTAAAACAGGTGTTCCTCACCTTGTCACTATACTTCTTGATAAATTGTCCCTCCCTATATTTCCTGTAGGTTCCCTTTAGGGACTGGAAGGCGCTTTAAGGTCTCCCCAGGGCCTTCTCTTCTTCAGGCTGAACAACCCCAATTCTCTCAGCCCATCTCCATAGGAGAGAGGTTCCAGCCCCAGATCATATTCATGGCCTCCTCTGGGCTCACTCTGGCAGGTTCATGTCATTCCTGTGCTGGGAGCCCAGGGCTGGATGCAGTGCTCCAGGTGGGTCTCACCAGAGCAGAGCAGAGGGGCAGAATCCCCTGCCTCCATCTGCTGCCTCTCTCCGAACTTGGTTTCAAGTTCTACTTATTTTTTTCTAGGCTGGGAAAAGAGGACTGCACACATAACTGGAGGTGTAAGCAAACCATGGATTTATAAAAAGTGTAGCAGATTATGGATTTTTTTTTTCTCTTTTGTCCTCTCGTCTCTGTGTAGCCATATTAATTTTGTGCTCTTTGAATGAGATTCAATCTCCCTTGAGTCTCTGCCAAGCCCAGGAAAGAAGCAGAGAGACACACATAATATGAAGTCATGTTCCTAGTTCTGACTGTAACTGTGTGATGTAGTTTGGTCAACCCATTCCACTTTTTCTTTTCAATTTTCATATTCAGAGCACTCTCTGAGCTGTGTCAAGGATGGCATGTTTCTTCCCAGTGTTATCACTATGAAGGAAATCTTACTGTGCTGACAGACATCAGTTTATAGCAGGGGCTTGAAGATTAAAGGCTTTGAAACACTGGTGGGGCTTTGGAGCAGCATTAGTGGATGGGGATTCAGGTACTTGAAGCAGCAAGCTCTCAGAGCACTTTGTATATGCCTTGGCATTCTGACATCATTACAGAGAGCTGTGATGACATACTTATATGGTCAGCACTGTGGACTTCCAATCTTTGTCCTTCCCACTGCTGGCATCCAGGCTTCTTGTCCTTCTTTCTAGTTAGACCAGTTTAGCTTTCACTAGTGATCGCACATACACACACAGACTAGAGATACCACACTCACGAAAAATAGTTGAGAATGGAGTTTAGTAAGATATGGTGATCAGCCACAGGGCTCTGTCAAATAAGCATATGAACCAGCCACCTGCTGACAGACAAACAGCTCCTGCTGAGCTCTCTTTTCTCCACTTTTGTCCATGGATGTGTGAATGGATCAGGTTGGAATTATCCAGTAATTGACTGAAGGACTCCTAAATCCTGTGGTGTTTACTTAATGCACGAGACCCTAAAACTCTCCAAGTGGAGATGAGAGAGTGCTCCTGCATGACCAAACCCCTCTGATTTCATCACCAAATCTCATGAACAGTTATACAGTGAGAGGGGGTAGGAATCATTTGTTCCTTTTAGGTCATCCTGTCAGGAGTTACCTTGAAAGACAAGATTCTTATCTACCTTTATAGGTAAGTACCAGTATTGAGCTAAATCAGGAACAAACACAGAAGTTACTGCAGCTCAACTGTGGATGGCATCTTGCTAAATTTATAATAAAGCAATTACATTTTTTCAAATGCCTGTACCACTAGGTCCTGGTATGACACATTTCAAATTGATCTGTATTCAAGATCAAAGGACTCAAGTTTTTCAGTCACATGAGGTCTGAGGCACCTGTAAGCAGACAGGAAATACATTTTCGCTTCCTTTGTTTTCAGCAGGTTGATTCTCTAACAAAAGTTGCAAAGGCTGCTAAAATAGCAGAACGGATGGTGAACCTGAACACATATGATGACATTGCACAAGGTATGGCTTACTGAGAGGTTCTTCTAACTCAAGTCTCAAGTGTCAGTCCTGCAGATAAGTACCTACAGTCACAGCAAGGACAGGACAGGACAGAGCTGAATAGAAAAACAGAAGAAAAACGAGCAGGTCTAGGAACCTGCTGACTCACACAAGGCAAATACTACATCAGACCATGGGCATGCAAAGACTGTGCTCTGAGCTGGCTGGGGACAGCAGGTCTGGTGAGCACTGCTCTCCCTGCAGCACTTCCTTCCCTCAGCAGGTAGTTCACCCCTGGATGCAGGTGCTAGTGACAGCAGCCAGAGCATATCACATACCAACCACATGGCTCACATACCAACCATAGCAAAGTACTCAATCTTGATGTTATTTTGCAAGAGACATTTTTCTGTCTCTGCTCAGCTTTCTCCTGAAGGGCCATGCCCAGCTCTGGGAGTGGCCTGAAGTCACACCTTGCTCAGGGCTTCTATTTACTTGTTAATTCTTTGTCTGCTGATCATCAGTTTGATTTTTATTTTTCCTATGTGTGAGGGGAATTGGTAAAATGCATTTAGAGGCCTGAATTTCTGGTTCAGAGTCAGGACTTAAGAACTGTGCCAGATTTTATAATAGCAGTTGGCTTGTGTGGAGGCTGTGAGGATAACAGATTGTCTTTTAAAGTTTCTCTGATGCTGAACTGTGCTGATTTATTTCTTATTGATATGCTAGGACCTTTTCCTTGATTTTTTTTTTTTTTTTTTGTTTAGATTTTAAATATTTTGAGGATGCATCAGATGAATTCAGAGGGCAGAAAGGAACCCTCCTCCCACTCTGGAAGTTCCAGTATGAAAAAACCAAGAAACTTGCAGTTACTGCCCTCTCCTGGTAAATCTCTTCATTCCAAACTTAATCTCGACTGTTGTACCGGGAGTGGAATGGAATGGAACGTAAAGGGATCTTACGAGGCGGGGCTGATTTCTCTGGGAACACACGGGTTTGATTTATTACAGTCGGCTGCTTGGGCAGCACTGAAATGTGCCTGGTGCTTCTAGTTGCAGAGGATATTGTATAAGGCTGAATGTGACAGGCTTGTGCCTTTCAGCAGAAACTGAGGCAGAGCAGGCTCTGTGCAGCACTGGGGAAAAGTGAGTGCAGTTAAGAGGGCAAAGAAGAGTCCTTTATTGGAAAGGCTGGGATAGATGTGTCATATCTTTGGACAGTATGCTGTCGGAATCAATCCTGCACAGGACAGCCCCAAAAATCCTGCTGTGTGCTTGAGTGTTGACCAAACACTTCTTGAACTCTGTCAGGTTTGGTGCTGTGACTGCTTCCCTTGGGACCCTGTTCTAGTGCCCAGCCACCCTCTGGATGAGGAACCTTTTTTTAAGATTGAACGTAGCTCTCTCCTGATGCAGCTTGATGCCATTCCCTTGGCTTCCATCACTGCTCATCATGGAGAAGAGATCAGTGTCTGCCCCTTCTCTTCTCCTCACAGTGTTGCTTTAACTTCAATGAGGTCTCCCCTCAGTCTCCTGTTGTCCAGGCTGAATAGACCAGTGACCTGAGCCACTCCTTACACAAGGGCTTCCCCCTCCAGACAAGAGAGGTATTTGTATATTGGAATCTTGCTCAGCTCATTGCAGTAGGCATTTACCCTGAAGTCCACTTTTACATATTTGGTCAGTCCAATAATGATAGCTGATACTTGCAAATCTACTCTCTTTTGTTCTGAGATATTATTGCTATGGTTATTACTGTGAAAAAAAACCCAATTATCACCAACACAAATTAGTCCTTTCACTTTTTATCATGCTTGATCCTCCTCAGAGCTGGCTTGGTTCATGCACTGAGCATGAGACATACCTAGTCTGTAGGTAAATCTGTAGGTATACCTAGACCCCACCCTGTGCTCCCCTGCAGTTAGGCCTCCTCTTGTTTATGTGAGCATGATTGTGCCTTGACAAGGAGAATCTATGGAGAGATGGAGCAGGATTGCCCTCTTCTGCCTTTCAAGCCACTGTGGTAATATGTAAGTGAGTATCAAGCATGCAGTTGTGTGAGAATTACAGATAACAGTAAAAATGGGAAACAAAATTGGGAGAAAGGGCATTTTTAATAGGTAGTTTATATTGCTGTTAATTTTGTCTCTAGGAAATGATAACAGAAAGATGTCTCTGAAATTGGAAGAATTACTCCAAATTGCTTTATGGAATAAGCTTTTCTAATTCAATTTTTATTCTCTCATTTTTAGCAGTGATGGTGCATTTAATGAAAATAACAAGAGCATTAGGATGCCTAGGTATTAGCCCCAGAGAAAAAAGGAGAAATGAAAAGAGAAGTGCATTCAAGTAATTCAATTCAATTCACAGTAGCAAGTCAGAGAAAATACTCATCAGTAA